GAGTTGTTAGGTCCGGGACTCAAACCACTGCCGGCCATGTGGGAATCCAGCACCTTAAACCACCACGCCACATGCCAGCTTCTCAAGATTATTGAAACACTATAAATATAATTGGCTGAAAAACGAGTATGAACTTTCCAAAACTGTGGATTACTTAATAGCACTGTGAGGGTTTTTTCCCCTGTACAAAATGCATAATAATTTAGTAAAAGTGAAAGGCCACAGAAAATTCAGGCTTTTCTGAAAATCAAGTTAGTATGATTCCATACAGTTGACAATTATTATAGATTACGAGTCACCATTCATACTTATAGAGAAGTTGATGAAATATCCTTTTTAATACTTAGTGAGTACCTGCTCTCAAGCTAACTATGTTACATTTTAGTGAATGAAACAGTGTTTATCATCGGCTCTTATGACACAAAGGAGCTTTTGTTTAATTCTCCAGACCGCATATTTCCTTCTTGACATATTCTTTAAAGCATATTTGCCTTCTCTCTGACCTGCAAATATCTTAAGGTTTCACATAGTAACTGGTTTGCAGGAATATTTAAATTTGACCTTTATCCTGCAATTCAAAGAATAATCAATTCACACATTTAAGTTTATATAGACTTCCTTTAAACTATAATTTGCATTGCACCACTAAAACATAAAAGAGAATTTATAGTTTACACAATTTAGTTAAAAGCCAGAGCTAATGTTATTTGACCATTCCGTTCCTAAATCCACGTTAGGAGTGTAAAAAGTAGCCTATTTTCTACACTGAATATAGCCAGCACCATCCAATTCTGCATGTCAGTGTACAATGGAAACAAAGGCTGGCACACACTCACTTTAACCACCCATGTTTTTGTTAGCCAAAGCCACGATGGCAGCACTACTTTGTATTTTCACTGCAATGTAAAATCCTGACTGTTTAATTGCCTAGTTGATTAAAGCTTACCATTGGAGAATATTCATATCATCCTCTACTTACAAAATAGTTCTAACCATGAGATGCATTCAGCCTTATTACCTGTCCTGCAGCATTTCCTTAAACGTCTTAGAGCTTCTTTCAGACTTCTCAAGTGCCTGCTTTTCAATTTCCTCCCTTTCTTCTTTTTTCTTTTGCAGATCCGAAGTATGACTTTTCCTACGATCTTTCCATTTTGCAAGGTCCTGACAGGAAAATCACATCAGCATAGCCATACCTGAATTTCTGCCTACCCTGTCTAGCTAGAGAGCACCAGAGGATCCTATTACATCACTGAAACTGTTCACCCCCACTTGGTGCCAAGGTGCCCTAATTTTGCTTTTTATAGCCAGCGTTTCTGTACCAAGCCTTTATCTCATGTATCTGTCTGAGACGCCTGACCTATTAAGATAGACCTCATTTGTGTTTTCCCAGAAAGTGTCTGCCTCATTGCCCATTTCACAAAGAATGCTAAATGCTTATAATTAGGTGCCAGTTAGATAGATCAGAAACTGTTTCAAATTCATTTTCATCTCACTCCAAAACCTGGCTGTTACATGAAAGGACATGTCTCACTAGTAAAACTGAAACAGAAACACGATTTTAATGGCGAAGTGTATGCACGGTCCATGTTTTATTTAACAAACACAAGCTCAGTCCTAGCTTTAGGGCCAGGCCTGGGCTGGGCACTGTAAACACACAGACGAGTAAGATGTGGTTCCCCACAAGGAACACTCAGGCTAGGAGAGAGGCACAGAGGTGTGAATACTAGTTCAGAAAAGAGTGTGATCAGATTGCGAGGGAGAGCAGGGGTCCCAAAGAGAGAATGAACAGTCCCACCTCAGGAAGGGAAGAGTCTGAAAAGGCTCCAGGAGGTAAGACTCAAATGTGTGATTTCAAAGAAGGCAAAGGTCACGCAGGACAGGGCAATAAGGAAGATCTTACAGCAAAGAGTCAACAGCTGGTGCCTAGGGAATCTGAGTTCCTAGGGACTTAGGTCCCCAGGAATCTAAGTCTAAGCTACATGGAGACCCTAAGGCGATTAACCAATTACCCATAGCAACCGAGCTGGTTCTGGCACCCAGGGGTTGAAGACATGTTGGAAGGTTTAAACTTCTATGTCTCCAAAATAGAGTCACTATGCTAAGGACTGCCATGGGCATTTCAGTCCAAAAAGGCATGTTCAAGTTCTCAATCAAAATCAAATTCACCCCCAGCACATGAGAAGTGAGTTTGGCTTATACCCATTGGGAGCACGCAGGGTCACTACTATTTCCAGAAAAAAACAAAAGCAGTGTGTATTTAGTCTTAAAGGATAACTGGTATGAATTTTCACGTGACTTAACCTAATGAATAAGCCCCTCGATCCTTATTTTCTCATATCCCCCTCCCCCTAAAAATCACCATTTATTTTGTCAAAGTGATACCAAATTAGTTTCACAATAATTAAATTGAGTTGTCAATGAAAAAAGGCACTAGAATTTGGAAATGTAGCCCAGGCAGGCTTCCCCATTCATTCTACAGAATATAATTCCTCTGAAAATTAAGATTTACTGTCTCTGGCCCTGTTGTTCATGCTACCACTCAATTGTCTTACGAGAAAGTTGCTCTAAAAAATTTCTGGGTTCATTATGTATAGTGTATTTATTGTGAATATTTACATCCTTTCAGTTTATAACAATCACACTATTAAAACAAAGAATTCAAGGCTGGGCCAGCAGGTGGTGTGAAGGTTATGGCTCTGGATCCCTCCAACTCCCCAGTTCAAGTCCCAGACCTGGTAGCATGGAAATCATGCCACGCAAATGTGCATGCATGCCTAAAATCCTGAGAGGAGACTAAAGGAGAACGAATTTCAGCCTGGCCAGCCCCTGAGGGGGATGATTTCTTATTCTCTCTCTCCTCCCCTTTCCCTCTTTTTCTCTTGCACATGTACCCTATTGCAAAGGAAAAAAAAAAAAAAAAAAGAACAAAAAGTCAAGTCTTGTTCTGTACGATCAAAACTAAAGATCAAGTCTGTATCCATTGTAAACATCTAGATAGATGTGACCTCTGAGAGATATCTCATTTTAATTCATATTAAACAATGATATCCTCAGCCAAAGGGGGTTATATTTTTTATATTTTTCCCCAAACTTCCTTAATTAAGAGTCCTTTTCATTTCTCCCTATTAACACCAAGATCTGTGCTAGAGCCCTGGCCTCTCCTCTCCCTAAACCTTAAACAAGGTCTTTTTCTATCATAAACAACTAACTTCCTGACCCCAAATTCAACCACCCAAACAAGTAAATAAGTTAACTACACTGCAAGGATGCAGCTTCACATTTCTGAGAACTCACAGATCATATGAGAAGATAAGAACCCATTTTTTTCACAATGGCCTTTAATACAGGCAACAGTTAACAGGCCAAAAAGTTCGAAAGGAGAAATCTTTGTAAGGGAAGTTGGTCATGTTTCCCTCAGAACCGAATACTGTAATGGCAAAGAGCTGTCTCTTAAGTATATTGACTTTGTTATAAGAGAACCAAAGAAAAGTCAAATATACCCTCCCTTCTGCCAAGCCAGAAGAATACTTACATCCTGCCATTTCTGATCTTGTTCTTTTAATTGTGATTTTATTTTCTGCATCTCCTCATAACGTAGCTGACGCAAGTTTTGAACATCCTCTGCACTGACATCGCTCATGGACTTGCTCCTACAAGAAAAATACCCACAGTTACCAAGGTTCGTATGACCAGACGTAAGGTTAAAACTGCAAGGTTGGCCTTATACTTGGAAATTCCACCTAAATTTTGGCTGTACTACCTAGACTCTTCAGTGATAGTATCACAGAAAAAGTACTATGGAGATAAATGGTGTTTTTCCAAAACGCAGAAACAAGAGCCTTACACTCAACTTGTGTGCATTTTTTTTCATGATATGGCTAAAATGGCCCTGCACAAGTCTAAAGAAAATCCAATATTCATATTTGGAAGGGACTAATGTATAAAAGAATCATTTTTTCCCTAATGTTTTCATTAGTCACTAGAATTGTCTGTCTTTAGTCTTCTATCTCCACCAAAGATAATCTTTTAAGGTTTGGCTGTCTTTTCTGAGTACTTACTAAATAATTTAATGATTACCTGATATTTTCTCCTCAAGTTTAATACCCTGAATAAATGTGCTGCTGCTTCTCAAAGAATCTGTAAGATCTGCCCCACTATAGCATTGGGCTTGTTCTCAAAGCACTACTACAGGTAGCTTCTAACAGTCTATCATAACCACTTCTATATCCCTTCTCTTCTTCTTTTTCCCCAAATTAAGGCAGCTTTCACATATTCAACTTGTAACACCTTGATGACGATGTACCAAGGTATAACTCTGTAAGGGCTCAATCTATAGAAGAAATCTCTAAAGAGAGTGTGGTATTGGACACTGGTACAGGTCTGCCATCTCTAAGCACATAAGAGGGGTTGGGAGAAGACGACTCTTCATGGCTCTTGAGAACTGGTGATTTCAGGGAAAAAAGAGAAATGATTTGCAACTGATAATTCAGCCTCCAGCCACAAAACTGAGTGACGGATCTATGGGAACTATAGCCAAACATCCAAATACTATTAGGGTTAACATATTCCTCAATATCTACTGAATCTGCTGCACAAAGGGATCACAACAGAATGGCAAAGAGATTACAGATCACCTCTTTCTGCATGCTCCTGAATGTTCAGAATGAACTTCAAGAATTAGGAAGAAACACACCATCCATCAGATGACTGGAAATCACCGCAGGACCACAAGAAATATGGGAAAGCAAGAAAATATCTCTCCTCCCAGGGAAAAGAATAACTCCTCTTCATCCACAGACAGTTCAATGGAAATTATGAAAATGTCTGATAAAAAATTTAGAATATTCATAATGGTAAAACTAAATGAGATGGAAGTGAAGAGAGACAATGAACTGCAGAAGAGGCAGGAGAAAGGAGCTGATGAATTCTAGGAGGTGAAGAGATTCTAGCAAGATTTAAAAGAGGAATTACACACTTTAAAAAAGAATCAAATGGACCTGTTAAAAATAAAGGCTATAATACAGGAAGTCAAAAATCTCCCTTGAAAGTATTAAAAGCAGATTAGATCATACAGAAAATATAATCTCTGGCATAGAAGAGAAAATTGCTGGCCTAGAAAAATCCACCACAAAGACTGAGAAAATGGCCCAAAAAATGAGAATAATATACGAGAAATACTAGATACCATCAACCGTCCAAACATCTGGATAATTGGTATCCCAGAAGGCAAAGAGACTCATAAGGGCATTGATAATCTATTCCATGAAATCCTGCAAGAAAACTTCCAAATCTAGAGAGGCACCCAAAGATCCAGTCCCAAGAAATACAAAGGACCCCAAATAGAATCAACCCAAGAAGATCTTCTCCAAGACACATTATAGCCAGACTGACCAAAGCCACAGACAAAGACAAGATATTAAGATTGGCAAGAGAAAAACATCAAGTTACCTACAAAGGATATCCCATCAGGATAACAGCTGATCTCTCATCGGAAACAATGTGAGTTCAGAGTGTTAAGGGAAAAGTAATTTCAACCAAGAATACTGTACCTGGCAAGGTTATCTTTCATATGGGAAGAAAAGACAAGAACGTTCTCAGATAAACAAAACCTGAAAGAATTTACTAGCACCAGACCAGATCTCTAAGAAGTTCTCAAGGGAGAGCTATATCAGGAAAATTAAATACAGACACACAAAAATAAGAGTTCAAAAACTAAGACAATGACCATCTTAATCATAGGGACAAGTCTGGAGCTGAATATTATATCCCAGAATTTAATTGGGAAAAATCGAGCAACAACAGAAGATAAAGTACATGAGACTGAATTGGTGAAATAGAATTTTATGACTTTTGACTAAAACAATGCTGATTTTCTTCTAGACTTTGTTGTCTGGTTTTAAAGATTTGTGTTCTGTCTTGAGATGTCCACAGGTTCATGTACCTACCATGTGAACAGAATCCTAACCTGTTTCCTGGCTTTAAATTTTAAGCAAAGTTCCTTAGGATTTCTTTGATTTAAGTTAAAACTTCTTTTCTTGAAATGACCAGCTGAACTCACTATTGAAAGTAGTTAGATTATTTAAGAAATTGTGTGATGAATACAATGTGGAGTGTGGAGGGCGGGGGGAAGAATGGAAGACAACTGTAAACACCAGAGATAGTGTGAGAAGAGGGTGGGAAAGGACAGAGGGTCAAAAATAGGGGTAAAAAGAAAAAATACACACACACACACACACACACACACACACACACATAAATATATATATGAAACTAGAAATGGAAAATTTTTGATGATAACATGCATGATTAAGCCACTATGCAGTATATTCTGGATGGGTAATCACATTTTGTATGCTGTGACGATGCGTAGGGAATGAATGTAAATTAATTAAGTTTTTTTAAAAAGTTTCAGGAAAAAAAACCTAACACTTTTTCTTGAAATTAAAGAAAAAATGCATTAAAAATACCTATTTGGGGACCAGCAGTTAGCATAATGGCTATGTCATTGGACTCCCATGTAGTTGACCGCGGTTCGAGTCTTGGACCTGGTGGCTTAAACTCACACCGGGCACGTGTGCGTGCGTGCCCAAGATCCTGAGAGGAGAACGGAGGAGAAGGGATTGCGGTGTGGCCATCCCCCTTGTGGGGGTGATTTCTCGCTTTCTGTCTCTCTGTCTCTCTTTGTCTTTCTGGCAAGCGCCCTCACCCTACAGCTTAAAAAAAAAAAAAACTCAAAAAAAGAGAAAAAAAAAAATCCTATTTGATGACTGCCCCAGCTAGGTGCTACTTTATAGTATGTTCATTCTACTCACTGAGGTTTATGCCTAAAGTCAGACTTGTATTCATGGATATGTATATATCAGCTGTGCTTGCTATTCAAACTACTTAGATTAATTAAGATCTTTACTGAATCAACAAAATGTGGGGGTGGGGAGAAGGCATAGAAAGCAACCATAGATACCAGAGACAGAGTGAGAGGAGGGTGGGAGGTGGGAGAGGGTGAGAGATAGGGAATCACAGATGAGACCAAAAGCAAAATGTACAGGAAATAAGAAATGAAAAATTATTTGTTGACGATAACACGTATGTTGATGTGTCTGAGTGAGCCAATATACAGTGTATTCTGGATGGAAAGTCTCATTTTGTATGCTGTAATGGTGTACAGTGATTGAATGTAAATTAAAAATTTTAATAAAAAAGAGTTTAAAAAAAAAAAAAGAGGCATTGGTAAACTGCACCAGAGGGTAAAGGGAGATTGGAGATGGCCTCCCTGAAAGGTAGACATAAGATCTCAATATGGAGGAGCAGGTAGGAATGAGATATAGAAAGTGTTTGAAGGCAAGTACCCAAAATGCTCTCTCCTACCAATCTCCAAAACATCTACTGTACTTCTGATTTTATTCCCTTGTAACTATCCTTCTTCTAAGGTAAGTCACAATCTATCATTTTCTTGGGCACCTAAACTTTGCCTTCCTCAAGATTTTGCCATTACATTTTCTTTAATAACACACTTCTCCCTTAGCTAGCTCAGGAATTCAATTAAAACATCCATATGCAAATGACTCCCAAATCTACAGTTTAGGATCAGTCCTTCCCTCCCTTGACTCATTTCCAAATGCCTATTGAATAAACATTTCTGCATAGATATTCTCTAGTTACCTTAATTGTAAAAGAACTAATTGAAACACCAGCTAGAAAGGATTCTGTAAACTGTAACTCATTGCACACATGATTATTGGCAATGGAGTCGAATTCAGTCTTATCCCCTAAACCTGCCTTTCCTCTTGTAGCTGGTAATGGTGTAATCTGCCCTCCCTCCAATCACCAACATTTGAAACCTTAGAAGCATTTTTCACCTTTGTTTCTCTCTTCTCCCCATTTTCAAGCAGTTATTAAGTCATTATTCAGTGTCTCTTTCTTTCCATTTCTATTACCAGCACCCTAGATCAGAGACCCATCAGCTCTTATCTCTTGGGAAGGCCTTTCCTCAACTGATCCCTGCAGTCCAAGGGGCTTTCAGCAGATTATGAGCCTTTTAAAGGCTACTCATTTCTCAGTATTCCTGGTAGACTAAATTCTGGGTAAGAATATATCACTTAATAATCATTCTTCATTTGCAAGTCTTAACAGGCATTTGAACTTAACTTTTCACAGACTAAAAACATGATTGCTCACTCCACAACCTGCTCATCTTCCATCTTCCTCATGTCAGTAAAGCCAACTCCATCCTTCTAGACATTAGATCTCAATTCATCATGGAATCATCCCAGATGCCTCTTTTCCTCTCATACCTCGTAACTGACCCCATCAGTAAATCCTGTCACTCTATGCTGTCAATATATCTAGGGGGGCACACACTGGACCCACATGGGAAGGTTTTGGTCTTGTGTCCCAGAATCCCCCTTAAATACCAGGTTTATGCATGTGCCCACAATCAGGGCTGGCTGAAATTGGGGTTGTATTCTCAAGACCGTAGCCAGCAAGAGCTTTCCTAAACAGCATTCATGTTATGCCCTACCTCTACGTAACACCCACCAGTTTCTTCCTATCTTGAGTTAAGAGCAAGTTTTTCCAAGACCTACAAGGTCCTATGTTATCTGGTCCCTAGGCACCTCTCGATACTCATTCCTACTTTGCTCTCATGCACTCT